ACCACCATTCATCGCAGCGTTTAGATGTTTTGTTCAGAATTTATGATTTATGTTTAATGTCGCACAAACTCGAAGATCTACAGGTGAAAACTAACAACTCGACAGAAGAGGTGGGGCAGCAAAGACACGACTTCCTTCAGGTGAACGTAGAGCAAACATGGGTGATGAAGATACCCACCCAACAACAACAACAAGCACCAATCACCATGAACAGAGAAATCTGAAGGAACTTGTCTCTTTCACTATCCTACTTAAGCAGCATCGTTTCAACTACAGGCGGTGGTGGTGGCACAGATGAGGACGTCGAAGCCAGAAACGGAAAGACAGCAACACAGGCCTTCCTCTATTAACCTGAAATCAGTGTGGAGATCTACTTCAGTGAACTGGATTGTGCTCAGCATAACGAAGGAGATCTGGACTTTCAACACGAATGGCGGTCAAGTCAGTTGTTGTGTATGGTTCGGAAACTTGGCGCGTTACGAAGAGCATTTCCAACAAACTGCAGACATTCATCAACGACTGCCTACGCTCGATACTGAAGATTAGATGGCCAGAATAATAGGGAAAAGCAACAAGGAACCCTGACCCGGCAACGAACCAATCAAGAACTCATTGCCCAAGAAATATGCAGAAGTAGAAGGTGGAGATGAATTAGATTGGGCATACTCTGAGAAGACCAATTGGAAACACCACGCACCACGCCTAATCCTCGAGTGGAACCCGCGTCCGAAACGACGAGTTAGGCGTCCGAGGATGACATGGAGGAGATCGTGAGGGAGAAATAGAAAGTTTCTGAGCAGTGGTAGAGCCAGGTTAAAAAGACTGCAGAAAACAAAGTGAAATGGCGACGTGCTACTGAAGCCTTATTCTCCACTAGGAATCCAAGGGACAAATATTCATAAAATAATAATAATATATGCTCTTACATAACAACAAAATAAGATAGATGAGGTGTGTAACTGTAATGGACACTCGATCAACTGTTGGGATTGCCAATCAGATTTCTCTATTTTGACTAGAAAGTAGTTGTTTCGTGAAATAGGTATATCTTACTGGTAATTCCAGTCTTTCCTAGGGTGAACTTTAAGGTCACACGTACATATTTGTAGTGCTTATGCCTAGTAAAAAATGGATTACTGCCATGTGCCGTGACAGTTATTGAAGTAACCAATTGGAGTTTTGTGTTTTATGAAAAAGCAACCATCGCAGTAAAAATAAAAAAAACATGATTGATTGTTTCAGTGGTTGCTAGAGTGGCCTTTAGTGTCAATCCATGTCTTTCCTTAATACGTCTAGAGTAACTCTGAAGACCACAATTGCAATTGATGAGATATCCAACTACAGCTGGTTTTTCATAAAGTACTATCCCTCCAGTCAAAATTGGTAAGTGATTTCTATGGTCGCCCTAGCAACCACTGGAATAACTAGTTACACTTTTCTATTTTGCGAAAAACTGTCTTTCTAGCTGGAATACGGAAACCTGATTAAATATTTCAGTAGTTGCCGTGTGGGCATGAAAGTCACTTGCTTACGGAACAGATCAGTTACAACAGTTTACATGTCAACGTGTTATTAAAGCTGGAAATCAATGAGCAAATATTGGAACTCACCAATGTTCTTTAATTCTTAGACTATCAAACGGTTTTTCTGCAAAGTCAGTCGGGCAAGAATTTAGTAAACCGACATATAATGACAGACACGTACGCACACACACACAAGCCAAAATCGTCTGATCTGAACAATAAGATTCCTTACCAAACATCAATAAGTTCTTGATACGAGAAATGAACTACAGATGAAGAACAATTATATGAGTCTATATTTCTACCTTCTGCCAATCGATTGAATCTACTAACTACAGAAATCGCGAAAGGGCAGAGAATATTGAATATGCTTTGACTGATAGTCACATGACTAGTTCAATTAGGATAAGATGAAAGATAACCACATTAGTACATGTTGTCCGCAAAGCGGAACGGTAAACATAAGGGTTATTTGTACATATTGAATGCATGCAGCTTGTTAGATTCTTAGCTAAATCTCATTCTCTCAGAAGGATGCCAATGCTGATAGATTTGCCGTACAGGCTATCAGTTTAGTGTAATCACCAACTACTAATGTATATAGAATCCTATCACTTGTAGGACAGAATAAATACTTTTGACGAGTTATTTATTTGACTTACACCTCGAAGCGACACAGCACAGTAATGATGGATAGAAGCTAGTATCGGAATCCAGGATGTGCATTTCGTCCAGTTCGGAACTCGTCAGCTGCATGTACCTGCCTCCCAGCGAATGCTGTTGTCCCCGCCGGGATCCGTACTCCGGACTGTTTGCTTCAAATGCCAGAGCGTTATCCACTAGACCACCGAGTCACTATAGCCACTTCTTGTGCGACGGGTATAGTTCTAGTGTTATTGCTTGTGTTATACCGTGGCTCAGTAGTCTACTGGATAATGCTGTGGCGTTTGAGGCGACGCTCCCGGGTTCTAATCCAAGTGGGAACAACGTCATCCACTGGAAGGTACATCCGGCTGACGAGTCCCAAATGGGACAAAATGTGCATCCTGGTCTATACTTCTAGCCCCTATCTATCACTACTATATAATTAAAAATACGGGTCTCCACGCAGGAGCCCATATGCCAATAGAGACTGATCAATTCGGTTCATACGACGACCGTATAATACAAGCGTTAACACTCTAACGAAGCGGTGTTTAACTTCTAGTTAGTATGCATACTTTCTACCCTTAATACTGCCTTTAAGTTGTTATGGAGTTTAGGAAACTTATGGAGGACGACAACTCACCATAAAGTTATTATGAGCTGCAAATTGCACCTGTACTAATCAAAATAAAAATTGTTCAGTGTATTATCAGCTAGGATAACTTCTATACTTTCTTAACGCTTTCTGGAACTTACAATGACTGATCACTACAGAGCAACCAATCTCATGTTGTTTAGTCCTTAGTACTCATCAAATTCTACCGATCATATTTGCAATGTGGCCATCAAGCTAGGGGGCTGGACATCGCGGTGCGATTTGATGGGTACCATTGAATGGGGACGACTGCCAAGAATCCCTGAGCCTTGGTTTCGTGCTGGTTGGTACAGCATACATACATGTATGTAATCTAGTTCTATAGGTGGTCAGTTGTAGCTTGGATCGCTGACTGTCAACGTCGCTAACTTATACACCTATTCAAATCCCACAGGAGACGTCGGTTCTGTCAAGGTGGCAGAAACGTCTTTCTGATGAGTTCCAGCTGACAGGAAACCAAAATGAGTTAGGGCTTCTTGCCAATAGCCTCCGACGAACTTTTTGAAACAGCTTACATCGTGAAAATTCTTTTCGCAACATCGAAAGTCATGTGGATTCCATAATGGAAATTAGAGGTTCGTCATGATTTACTGATGTGAAGTTGGTTAGTACTCATGACGGACAGGCACTGATTGTAGGACCAATAAAATCCTGAGAGTACTAATGATCTGTTTCTTCCTGGCATAGAAATCCACAGTAGTGCGCACTCGTGGCCACGCTCTACCAGAGGTGGAGCCCGGAAATCTCAGGACTCATGGCGAGGATGGTACGTTTCACGCACTGTGAATTAGTTACAGACCTGTTAAAAACCTGAAAGCAATGGAGAGCTGTCTTCTCGTTACGTGCGACTCCTCACCAGTGCGAAATTAGAATCCTGTCAGGCATCGAATTCAAGAGCCACAGGCTTTTAAGCCTGAACGTTACCATTGAGCAACAAGGCCGGATTTCAATACTGCACGTTTTCCTACTTATGTCTGTTCACGATACTGACTTACCTGTAGCCCCAAAATAAGGAGCGATGAAAATGTCGAATCGTTATACGCTGATAGCTTCTACTGTCCACAACCAAGGTTAGGCTTCTTACTGCCAGCTGATAAACCTAATATATTAGTAGATTAAAGGCGTTAAAAATTTGAAGAAGTGGCGTATTTCATCGACTCTTTTTCAACTAAACACAAGTATAATGTGCAAAGCAATGTTATTTATGTAACGTAGTCATCGATAGAAAGGTAGTTCACCGATGAAAGCTAATGAAACTTATGGTACAGATTGAGGAAGTCAGAATGAAATAAATGAAATCAATCAAAATGATCAGTGGAACTTGATCACTACTCAGGTCTAGACAACATGAAGTTGGTTACCCTAATAGCTCAGTGGTAATATCTATAAGTGCAGCAGTGGGTGGCACGAGTTGGAATCTCAGGCGAGACATCAATTAACTTGAGGTTGCATATACGCCCTAGTGACGAGTACCAGAGAGTAAGAAACCTAGATGGTGCAAGGTTTCCTGCCGACTGCTTCCATCCAATTAAGATTTGTCAAAGAGCATCGCGATGTTGAGTCAGCTAGCCTGACAACCACAGTGCAAAATGATCGATCGAATTACATAACTACTCTGGTCTAGACAACATGAAGTCAGTGACCGTTCAGTGACTAGTCAATATAAAGTAATTTTGTGTTTAAACAGTGGGACTATTTATGTTCGCGTCTCACAACAAGTGTCCATTGTGGCTCTGTGGTGTAGTGGATTACGCTCTGGCGTTTGAGGCGATCGCTCCTTAGTCCGAATCCCGGTGGAAACACCATCACTTACTGGGAAGCAGGTATATCCAGCTGACGAGTCCTAAACAAGACGCAATGCGCATCTTGGATTCCACTGTTAGCCATCACTACTACTTAATTAGTGTTTATTTTCTAAATAATTTCATCAGTTATATATATTATCCATAAATATAATTTGGTCTATCAATTTAGTACATGATTTTCGGTTGCATGAATTAATTAACGCGTTGAATTCCGACGGACTTTAACTTTCATTTCCAACGTATAAATATACCTCCATGAGAAAGGACATAATTTTAGCCAATGAAAAGAGTCCTAAAATGTATTAACCAATCAGATTGTCCATTTGTAATCTATCGACCAAATATTATTATAACATACATAATAATAAAATCAATAGATTTTCCTTTAAAACAATAATTTCGTTCACTTCTCTATCTCCATCTTATCCTAGTAAATACTGTAATACAAGCAATAACACTAAATACTGTAACTCTCACAAAACGCTTTTCATCCAACAAATTTCTATCAATATTTATGCACAGCTACGAGTAGTGAATTTATAGTATGCTAGAACAAAGGGAAGTGTTGTCAAACAATAGAGAATGAAATAAACTCTGATAACAGTTTGGTTGGTAAACGTTCTCAACAGAAGTTGGATTATGCTGTCATTCATTGAAAATCCAACCAACTAGAAAAAAAATCAAAGCATATAAAGACGTACTTTACTATTGACATGGCTTAAAACATCTATAAGCGCCACAAAAAGTTGAATTGAGCCGTTAGTTGGATAATAATTGTTGAACGGAACTTGGAACAAACAGAAAACACATAAAAATGCATTCAGTCCAGACAGATACTTATCTACAGTCAGCTGATGAGAATCACACAGCTCAGTCGAAATTACTGACTAACCAGGAGCATAACACCAATAATATTTCATCTGATCCTAAGAATAACAACAATACTGATCATAATCATAATAATGACTTTATCAGATCAATGGAAGAGGCTGATAAGTGTAGCCTATCCGTTGGTCTAGTGAAACAAGTGGATTCTGATGACACGGTAAGCAAATCTTTGTAAAACTTTCATCGGGAAGGGGAATGATTACATGCTATACATGACCATTCTAGGATTATGTAAAAAACGACTATTTTAAACAGTTTTAATTTAGAAAAGACAGTTTCTTTTAATTAGACTCTTAAAGATTTCATGTTCTCGGTTAATAGTATCCTTGAGATTTGTATTTCCCAATAATAGATAAGTGTTTAAGGCAAAACTAGTTTTCGTTGTGTTACAAGTGTCTAGCTAATATCTTTTCATAGTGACCAGACTGTGTTTAATATTTTTTGAAAGAGTCAGTTCCTTACACATTGTCGTCTTTTAACTAGTTACAGACAGTCGTTAAGAAGCTCTGCTGTATCCAGGCTTTATGCTTGTTGGTATTCGTCACCAAGGCATATCTACAACTTCTATGGAACTGATGTTAACTCGGAGATCTGTATCCGTGTCACCCAGTGCTGCAGCAGGACAGGTTAGCACTAAGCTGTTCGTGCAGCGACTGACCTCCTTTAGAACTGGATTATATACATTGATTTTCCCCTGGAGAGCATGCAGTATCATGTTCTCTTGCTCTGAGTGCTGGTTGAATTCTATCAATTAGTTTGCCAATGTCACCATCAAGCTGTGAGGCCTAGTATCGTACTGCACTTTTCCAGTTGTTAGTTGGCTGGATGCAGACGGCATGCATATTGACCGTTTTTCACTGACTGTTAGGTAAACAGTAAACCTAATGCTATTTAAAATAAGACAGGCTGGTGGATTCTACCCAGTAAAGCAGCAAGAGATTACAAACATCAATAAATAATAAATAGTACCCATGGTACAAGAGGCAACTACCTTATCCCAGTAGCATAATGATAGACGCTTTAGTGTTTGAAGCGATGGGTACCAAAGCCTAAATTTTTATGTGCTACTTAAGCATTTTGCATTCAATATGCCCAGTCACTTTCGTTGCACTTTTCTCAGTTTCAATAAAATGAAATTCAATCATCATGGACTTTTGATTTACTAGCTTCGGTATGTTTTAAGACTTCTATCTCATCTTAATTCTGCCACATTTATGTTTGTATACAGTTACTGCCTAAAAATTCATATTCGTCTTCTCTTCTACAAGAACTGTTTTATTTATTAATGACTTTCTAAAAATGAGAAGCGATAACTCATAAACTATGTTTAGAGACTACTTATCTGGGAACCTATAAGTAATTTTGTCTATTTTGAAGGATATTTAGATAATATGATGAGGTGAAAGTTGCTTTTATTTACTTATATACATGATCAATTAAACGTTAAGTAGACGCTAAGTAGAAAGTTGTGAACTCTCGAAGTATGTTGTCGAACAAAGTGAGTAGTCAGAAATCACTCATACTGATCTTTAAGTTTCAGATGATCTAAACAGTCTGAACCTACCGATACACAAGAGATGAGCTTGCCATCAAACGAGCGAAACAACCACCGAACATATGGATCACTCTGCTTTAGTTGCCTGCGAAATCTCCAGATCAATGTGAGTGGTTCCTAACCGCTCAAGTTTTTTCTGGAGTAGTATACTTCAAATATATCCCAGTGACAGGTCTATTGGTTAACATCTACTAGACCGGAAAGCATAACTGCTTGAAAATTTCCCTAAAGTTCTTTCAAGTTGTTATTCGTCGTAGACTGACATTAGTTGGAGGAACAAAGGAGTCCCATACTAGGACGAAACAGCTGTCCAGTGCTCCCAGGTTTCCTTTGTTCCTCCAACTAATGTCAGTCTACGATGAATAACAACTTGAAATAATTCCCTAAAGTTCATTGATACCCCCAGTTTGAGTTGCCTAAAAGTTGTAATCTTCTAACAATACTCATATAAAATAATCTTATAGTTACACACTGAGCTCTCAAGAATTTGAACAGCAGGATGATTACCGAATTGTTGGTGCTACCAAGAAGCTGCTTATGAAATAACTAAAGTCAAAGTTTTGCAAGGAAGTATTTCAGTTTAGTTTATTGCTGGAGTGTGTGTGGAATAGGAACTTCACCAGAAGCCGTTAATCCTTGAAGTCCTTCACAACCAATCATTTTGCTTCGAAGTTTTCAGAAACAGCACGTGAATAAGCAGATTGGTTGGAGAGCTAAAAATCAAGAAGATATGTAACTCTGGAATAGCCAAGATATAGTCCAGGTCATTGTAAAGATATACAGGCTTTTGCATTTTATGCATATTTTGACGTTATAATATACCCGTGTCTTCTATTTACCAAGGTAATGAGCGACCATCAAGGTTGGAATTTGAAGTTTATTTTTCAACTGTCCACTCTTATATATGATTTAATGACGAATATTTATATTGTTATTATTTGTCCCTTGGGTTCCTAGTGGAACATATGGCTTCAGTAGCACGTCTCCATTCCACTCTCTTCTATGCAATCTTTTGAACCTAGCATCATGACTGCCCACAAGCTCTCATTTCTTCTTCACACCATCTCCTCCATGTCACCATCGCCTCGGATGCCCAACTGGTGGTTTCCCCTTTGGATTCCATTCGAAGGCGTGGCCTAGCGCCTGATGTCCCCAGTCGGCCTTCTCATTGTATGCCCAATCCAATCCATCTCCACTTTCTTCTGCATATTTGTTGGGTGATAGGTTCTTGGTTGGTTCGTTTGCAGGCCACAGTTCCTTGTTGCTTATTCTCTCTGGCCATCTAAGCATCAGTATCGAGTGAGCGTAGGCGTCACTGAGCTTCCCATTGTGAATTACTTGGCATGTGGTGCCTTCATATAGTTGCTGAATGACGAATATAACCCAGTACAATAATTTTTTCATAGATCTTGTGTTTTGTATCTTTTTAAAAACTTTAATAAACTGTTTATATATGATCCCATGTAACATAAAAGAGACTGAGAGATATGTGTTAAAAGTTATTCTCTAATTAAAAAATTTTTTCTAATAACTCAAGTACGACTTCACAACCATATACCGCAATTAGATATCGTATGGACTCCTACACCCCGAAATCGGGTGGATAACTTATCGCTGTTCCTCTGATGTTACAGCAAACCTAATGGGCCTAGCCAAATACATGGTCCAGTCCAGACATAAAAAAGACAAATAAACTTGTTCCAAAGTAGTTAGTTCAGTTTCATAAAAGTTCGTGTTACAAAGGCCCCAGTCTTGCATAAAACATTGTGATTGATCTGAACGCTTTTAACTTGTCATTTTAACACCATCGTTACAGCATAACTAGTAGTTTGTTTTCTGCCCCCATTGTAATGTAATTCGCTGATTACTCTTACTATGTTATTGCCTCAATTTGCGGACAAGGTCATATTTGATGTGTATGCATACTCACACTTCAAAAGGTGATTGATTATTATACTCGGAGTAATAATCTCTTTCATCCAGCTTCGGTCTTTTACTTTATTCGTCTGAGGTTGTAGCCGATGGCTCTTGCGTGCTAAGTTAGCTGTCAGTTAAGCATGTGTATTATATTCGTTAGGAATATATAACTAACTGTTCGATCGGAGTAGTTGAACGGACTTTCCATTTTTCCAGTGAATCATTATACCGATTTACTATAAACAATTTAAGGCATAATAATCAGTTTTCCGTAGGTTTTAAGAAGGTAGTCTAGTTGCCTTTTCAATTCATTTAATTAGGTGCTTCGGTTACTTTTAGGGCTTGCAGACAGAGAATTGACAAGTTTTTCCTTTCTTTTTTGTCTAGCGAATTCAACGTTTGAATAAATACACAGTGAGATATTCCCTCTAGTCTGTGAACATACTTATGATTCGCTTATCTTTGGCTTCACTATACTGGTAACAGTTCAGTACTTAAATATCGACTGCCCAATTACGAATGACATTGATCTGTTTCACTCAAAAAACAACTGATAGTATCAGCAAACGTTTTAAACCAAACTAAACTTCGTGTTAAATACAGTCCTGGTTTCTGAAAGTCAGTTGATGGGGCGATAAGTCCTAATCAGCTTAGATGGTTTAGATATGTGTTACGCACGTCTAGTCACCGTCTACTCCATCGTACATTGTTAGATGCAGTAGGTTAATGATGTAAGATTAAAACGACATCAGTCTGTGAAGTCTCTGACTTTCGGTCTTCCTCGCTGTCTGGAAATAAAGACTTCCTGTCTAGAGTTTATATGGTGACGGAAATTGGTGGATGGAAACTGTAGGTGATATGACTCAGAATCAATCTCAGCGACACTGACGCATACACGTATCATTATACTGATTCTCATTATTGCTTCATACTTTCTTGTTTTCTTTTGACATCTTTCTATCAATATGATTAGTTCCTTGCTTTGTTCTCTCTCTTCTATTTCGTCTATTAGCTTGATGAGCTAAATCACTACGCAATAAAGCTGATACTGACGAACTGATATGATACAAAGTCTTCGTATGCATAGGAGTCTATAGGCAACTAAGGATTATTAATTTATTTCCCCTCTTCTATAAATCTCAATATAGCAAAGACAATTATTGAAACAGAATAAATCGAGATCATTCTTATTTTAGGTTGGAATTCATCTTTGACTGAAACTAGTTGAAAGAACATTGAAAACCTGAGAGAACTGGACATCTGTTTCGTCGTCAGCAGTTTGCACTCATGACGACGAGGACATAAGGACAGTTACTCAACAACAACATTCGATGTACGTCTCGCTCTACCGTTAACTGAGAGTATAAGAAAACATGGACCATTGTATTCCATCCCAGTGGCTAGTTCGACAGTAAAGTGCTGGCCACGGAACCTTAGGGTCCTGGGTCCGACCCCTGGTGGTGCGGGCTCATGGGTGTGCACTAGTGAGGAGTCTCACACTATGACGAAATAGCTATCCAGTGCTCCCAGGTTTCCAATGTTCCTCCAACTTAAGTCACTGCATGATGAACTGTAACCTATAATCAATTATTAAATCTCTACAAAACTTCGGATAGAATCATTCTTATTTTTGAGATTATCTTCATTTGTCAAAGACCTGAACAAAAATAAAATATGTTAATTTTAGTAAAAACATGAATGTACTCCACCATATTTACTTTACCACAACTATATTTACTTTCATATCACTCTACCTACTTGTTATTTGTATACTTTTGTGAGACGTGATAACTTGAACCGAGGTTCTACGTTGATTTTGTATCTGTCAGAAGGCAGGTGTTGAAGTTCAGATAAACTTCAATTGATAATCATTCTCCTTGTGTAATCAAAATAACTTTGTTGTATATATTGTTGCTTCCTCACAAAAAGTATCATGTTTGATCTATATCTACTGCAAATAAATCAGCAAATTTCGCTCCCCATTTCTTACTCTGCCACAACTTAACTTTTTTCTCCCCTATTATTGTATGCAGGATTTGATGACAAACGTACCTCAGAAAAGAAACTGGAAAGGAATTCTGCTCGCTCTACTCGTCATTGTATTTATATCTTCACTTATTCTTACTGCAAGCATTTTAACAACACCAAGTGAGTTAAATCACTGGATATTGCTAATTGTAACAAAATGTTTTTATTTAACTGATGCCACATGCTATAGTAACCCCTTTTAATGATCTACGTAATGATGTCAGTCTGTGATGAATACCATATAAAAGGAATAAGCAATAAGTCGCTGAGTAGTTGCTTCAGATTCCTATCCTACATATGTACCAGAAGAACCTTAACCAAAGAGCTGATGTCTGTTATTATTATCATTATTATTGTTAGGACACATAATATGATACGAAGCATTTTGAAAAATAATGTTAAAATGTGATACATATATTAGTACTAGCAGGATGACGTAATTAAAGTACATTTCACGAACCGTTTACATTTGTTCAAGCAGGAAAGTTCTAATGACATCCGAGAGAGTAGCTGTGCACAGGATAATACTAGAAGCGTGCTGTTTATTGTATGAATGGATGCCGTTTACGTCACTTTGTGTTTTCTCCCTAGAAAAAAGAGTTTTGTTATGTTTTCAGTTCATCATTTTGCAACTTCACAATGAAATTCAGAAAAAGCATCTTGATGGGTCGCAATGGCTTCTAAAGTGTTAACAGACACAAAATGACGAGTTCTTGATTAACGCGCACAAATAACAGCTTAATTATTTCGGTTTAAAAGAAGAGGGAGAAATCTTGTCACAACTATAGGAGAATTGGTTTGACTAATATTGTGTCCAAGATCCTAGGAACCATCTTTATTTGGCACTTAAGTGGGAGTAAGGAGTATTAAACTCAGAACAACTAGGCAGGTATCATACAGACCTGGATGAGTGCGAATCGATCGTACTTTATCTTACAACAGGTTCTGGGACACAGTCATACTTACTGACCAATAGGAGACACTTGCTATATTTCTTGACCTGAAGGTGGCATTCGACTCCGTCAACCATGGGGTGTTGTTGTAATGTTTGACTGTGAACAGAGTACCAAGAAAGCATATAATGACAAACATAACTGTCTACACAAATTTACGCAACAGTGTCATGCCTTATGTAGAGTTGTCAAGTCAATTGTCGACTACTCGATGTCCACTGCCACCGTTGATATTTAACCTCTTCATAGAGGTACTAATGGACATAATCATAGATATGTCTGACTAAACAGGGATTGACCTACCCCTAGAGTTCATCCAGTTGACTTGGAGTATGCAGACGATACTGCCGTCCCAGATGAAGACGCTGACAAAATGAAGGGCCTTCTGGAAACGTTGAGCAGAAATCTGAGTACATTTGGTATGTGTTTTGCTGCCATCTGTCAAATGCAAGATGATGCTCTAGGACTGGTCTAATGCAAGTACTCCCAGTTTAATGGTAGTGGATGTAGTGTTGGAATGTTTCGACAACTTTACTTACTTGGGGAGTTGCATCAACTCGAACGAACTGGTTGCTGACGAAATCTCAGATCGGATACACAAGTTCCGCTTAGCATTTGCTAACTTGCATCATCTGTGATGCCGGCTGGCAGAGATATCCGACTATCTACTAAAGGACGAATATTTTACATTGAAGTCCGTTCTGTCCTCTTGTGTACCTGTGAGACATGGCCGTTAAAAGTAGAAAATATGAAATGATTTCTGGATTTTGATCACAGATTTCTTCTTAGTATTGATCGCATTTAGTGAAATCAGCGTGTCAGCAGTGTTGGGGTAAAATGAAGAGAAACAAGCAAAACAGTCAAGCCAGCCGATGAGATAAGGAACCTTATTCGAGTGAGACAGCTTGGACATGTACTATGCATGCTTTGCCACCGCCTACCTCGTGTCCAATGCTAGAGAAAGTTTGTCTGGGTTGGAAGAGGGTTCAAAGTAGCCAGACGAAAGCGTGGCACTGATTGATGAAGTCTCTTACTGTTGGTTTGAGCCATGTAGGGAGATATAAACTGCCTGGTTATAGTCGCCAAGACGAAAAGAATCAGTGGTTGAGGACTGGCTCTTGATGAAACGGCTGAGAACTTATCACAGTTGCGTAGATGCATTCGCTCCTTGGTATCCTCTAAAGCTTGAATATTCGCACAAACTTTCATCTTCATATTGCTTATTCTCTCTCAAAACTTCATCTGTTTTGATATTATTATTATTATCCTATCTACTCGTTCTTTGTATGCTACCGTGAAGTGTGTCAACTTGAGCTGATGCAGCTGTGTGGGTGGTTCTACGTTGATTTTGTCAGCCTGCCACTTTCATCCTCTACCGTCCATCATAAATCAAATGCATCAGCAGCACAATTTTGACTTGATAACCTGTATGATATTTATAAAGATCATTCTTCAATGCCATACAATGTTTCAACTGCATAAATATGTTTTGGAAGCGTAGTTAAGTATGTCAGTCCCATCTGGCCTGCTTCCAATTATGTATCCTGTAGGTTTTCAGTGAAATATCTGCATAAGTCTTAAATGTCAACATAAAGATTTGAGGAAATGCAACTGTATTTGCCTGACAAACATTATTATTTTTATTTGCCCCTCGGGTTCCTAGTGGAATATAGAGCTTCAGAAGAACGTGATAATCTGATCTGTAGTATCAAGCGTAGGCAGCTGTTTGTTGGAAATGCTCTTCGTAACGCGCCAAGTTTCCGAACCATACACAACAACTGACTTGACCGCCATTCGTGTTGAAAGTCCAGATCTCCTTCGTTATGCTGAGCACAATCCAGTTCACTGAAGTAGATCTCCACACTGATTTCAGGTTAATAGAGGAAGGCCTGTGTTGCTGTCTTTCCGTTTCTGGCTTCGACGTCCTCATCTGTGCCACCACCACCGCCTGTAGTTGAAACGATGCTGCTTAAGTAGGATAGTGAAAGAGACAAGTTCCTTCAGATTTCTCCTGTTCATGGTGATTGGTGCTTGTTGTTGTTGTTGGGTGGGTATCTTCATCACCCATGTTTGCTCTACGTTCACCTGAAGGAAGTCGTGTCTTTGCTGCCCCACCTCTTCTGTCGAGTTGTTAGTTTTCACCTGTAGATCTTCGAGTTTGTGCGACATTAGACACTAGACATAAATCATCATGGGCGGAATGCAAATCTTCCAGGGTTTGTTCATTGGTCAAACAGTGTATGATTCTCTTCTCGCTCCTCATAGTTTGTTGGATGATCCAGTCCACTTCGGTCCAATCAGGAATATCATCAGTGTCTAACAAACAGTCTCATACTAACTTACGTTGCTCCTACTCGTTCATTGTTTTAACGATAAATTCATCCAGTTTGCTGTTCATATTCGAAAACTCTCTTGGCTAGTAGTCTGTGGTTAGATTACTTCTTGTAACTGCAGCCTCTTTACACCACTTGCTCACAAAATGTTTGTCAAATTCATTTGTACACCTTATTGGATATGGTGTGGATTATCACTTGGATCTGTCTAAAACCAAGAAATCAGTAAATTCTGACTTATGTATCAGATGTGTAATATACAGTGTATATTATAGAATATAAGAGACTGGTTTTGTATACATTTTCAAGAATATCCAGCACTAATACTATTCACGGGCCAATATAATGTGTTTGAGAAGTATGAGGTAAAACTTGAGACTAGTATACATTTATCACTGAAGTATTGGTTAACATTGTCATTAATATTTCAAGCTGTCTCAGATCTTCTTTTAACATTTGCTGCGTTTAAGAAACACTTTGTGAAATTTGGAAGACTTCTCTCTTCATCTCAATAGACCTAGAAGATGATAACAGGTCACGTGAAGTGGGGACCCAACTGTTTAACAAAGTTCAAAATATAACTTTCAAACACAATATTCGATTTAAGTTCTATCGTTTTAGAATTCTTCCAATACACGGAAACTGTTTCACTAACTTACAGTTGAAGAACAGCAAGGTGATGAAGCCTTCTTTGATGTTTTCATTTTAAACCAGTCATTTATACGCCAGCAAGCTGATGTTATATTACTTAGTGTCTCTAGTCAAATAAATATTTATTTTCCCCTTTTTATTGCAGATGATGTTTACAAGCGTTCCAGATCTTGAATCTAACTCGAAGCCTAGGTCGTGATAAATTTTAAGTAGAGTATCTGGAAACTTTTCGAATATTTATGTGATCATCTTATAGAAATCTCTCACGCATCATTCTCGGCGGATATATTAACTACTTTCACTTGTATGTACACCTTCTCTGAAATGTGTAAGTGTTACACGACAATTCGCTCATGAACAGTGAAAGTAATTTTCATGCTGGCACTGTTGAGCATATTAGTGCTGTTCTAGTCCAGATAGAAGTGTCCGATATGTTCACTACACCTTCCTACATTGCCCGTCCGGACTTGACCGTGTATGACAATGATCCTTGCATCAAATCTGGCTGGGGCTTATCAAGTGCAACACTATTGTTTACTAAGGATGTAATACGGTTTCATGTTTCTGACCACGCGTGTCATCATAGCATTACCTGCCCATAGTGGAATCACCGATGGGAACAATGCTGTGGTGAGATGAAGGGTAGTAGGCAAAGAAGGTAGGTTATTCAATGAGGCTGTGAACTATCAGTGACTGAGGTGGCTTGGACACATGTTGCGCGTGCCAAGTCATATCTTACCTTGAAGTGAAATTCTAGGCGAATTTGGATTAGGCTGGAAAAGGGTTCGTTATGGCAAGACCACGACACGGCACAAGTCGACTAATTCCCTGACTAATGGTCTAATCCATTCAGGGAGATGTAAACTACGTGGTTAGGGCACCAAAAACAAAGGGAATAGATGACTGAGGACTCTGAGTGAAATCGCTCAAAAATCACTCTTTGACATCTTCTAAAGCTTGAATGTTTTAACTGATCTTAATTTACAAATTCCCTTTTCTTCTACACAAATTAGCTCATTTTGCTATCTCCATTTTTTTGTCCACTTATTCTCTGTATACTACTTTGGAGTGTGACAACCTGAACCGATACACTTCTGTATGAGGTTGATATTTCAGTTTGTCTATCAAACTGGTGTGTTTCGAGATACTATACCTTCACCCTTTCCGTTCCCTTTCTTTCTGT